ACTTGGTTAAGGTATCTCCTGAATATTTACTGATTAAATTTTAAGTCATTCAAATTGTACCATCATATGTTGGTTAAAAGCAAGTAATCTTCTTGAAAGCAAGTAAATTACTGGAATATTTTAACCAAGTAAATTCATGGCAAAGAACTAAATTGAAGGAAGTAATTTACTCATTCAAGTTGCTTTCTGGGTTCAATTTATTACTTTTGCTTCATTCAACTTACTGGATTATATGACCAAAAAAAACTTACTGGATTACAACTCAACTTATGAATTATCCCCATGGTTACTTGGTTACATTTAATCCAGTAACCGTGTACTTTGCTTTTAGTTGTTCAACTTCGCTTTTACTAAGAGTTCAATATATTACTGAAAGTCAGAAACTAAAGAGATACTCCAATCAAATAAGTCTCTTATGTAATCACTAGGTAGTGTCTAACAAAGATAATTGAAAGAATGAAGTAATGGTACACTTGAATTTGAAAATCATACTCTGTATTTATTATTTTTTATATCTTAGTTAACTAATTGGTGAACCCAAAAGCTTTTGGGAATAAGGGTTGGATGTTATTGTTAGTTAACCAATTGAAAATTATACTCAGTGAGTATGCAATATCATCTTAAAGTTAATAATTGTCATCGTTTGAAATAGAATTTGCTAAAAATGTGTCTGATAACTAGCGTAACAGGATTAGCCAATCTAATAAGTTAATATGGCATAAAAAATGGATATCTAACACAAGAGGTCATGTACAATAGATATAAAAGTACAACCCTCTGTTCCAAAAAGTTTTGACAGATTACATTATTTAACTGTCCCCAAAAGGTTTTTCATTTTCTTCTAAAGCAACAAATTTAAATTTGTGTTTCATAGTATTTCTCCCCTTAACACATATTTGAATCACACAACTTTAATTTATTAATCTAAATGCAAGTCAAAATTGACTAGCTTTCATAAGAAGAGTATATTACGGAGTATATACTCTGTATATATTGCTATACTTGAGGGATACCTGGCGGGTAGGCATTTTGACAAACACCTGGAAGATGTTCCTGTACGTTCTCCGCACCGCTCTCAACGCTTGCATTGGGCAACAAAGGGCCGATGATTTTCTGGCGACGGGAAGCAGCTTCCTTGAGCTTCGTTCTGCGGATGCGCTTCCTCTGAGCCCTAGTCAATTTCTGAGCTTCACACCCACCCTCCTCATCGCTTGAAGAAGAAGAAGAAGAGGAGCTCCTTTCTTTCTCAAAATCATCTGCATTTTAATTCAATCTGGCTATTAGCGTATCAGTATAGTTCAAATTGATTAGAATATTGGAAGCAAAACAAGCACCTGGAACGAGATCTAAATCGAGACTTTCTGTATGAGTGCACCCGGCTCCCCCGCTCCTTTCCTCCTGTTAAAAATATAATCAGTGTGTGATACTCAGAAGAATAAAATATCTTTAAAGTTGTAAAGCTTAGTACTTGGCGATGAGGAGGCGATGATGGAGGCGGATAGAGCGCTTTAAGGAGAGCTTCATGGAGCTTTCGTCGTTTCTCCTCCTTCCTGCTCATCTTTCTCTCTTTCGTCGTTTCTCCTCCGTTTTGTTTGGACAGAGTGTTTGGAAAAAAAAAAGAAATAATTACATAAATATGACCAAAATAAAGATGGTTTACAAAAATATGATTCATTACTAGAGTAGTAATAAATCATAGTAATCCATGTTCAAGTTTTGAACTTTAGTTACCACAACACTACATTGTAGTAATGAATAGTCATATTTATGTAAATAAGTTTTATTTTAGTAATATTCTCGTAAAAAACCCAAAAAAAAATGATGGAAGTTTTAGTAAGTGGTACTAAGGGTTCGGAAGGGAAGGGAAGTGTAAGTGTTGGACATAATTTTATCTTGTTTGGGAGAGTCAAATGAATGAAGTGTTAATAATGGAATTGTTAATAATTTTACCCTGAGGCAAAAGAAACGATTAAAGAGAAGAGATGAAAAAACAAACCATCAGACCCGTGGGAAAGACATTTAAAGTGAAATGTCGAAGCATTTTATGTTTTTCGGGTAAATGGGAAGGGTAATAATTGTCCAACACTTCAAAACACTCCAAATCGGGGTGTTAAAAAAATGGACAATTAAGGTGTTGGGAAGGTTATTATTAACACTTCCTAACCATTACTAACACCTCTGGATTTTTCTCCCAAACAAGTGTTAGCATCAACACTTACTAACACTTCCATTATTAACACTCCTCAACACTCAATCCAAACAGGCCGTTATGGGCTAAAAACTCGTATCTTTCGTGCATAGTTTGATTATGCGAAAAAATTATATGATCTAAATGAAGTGCTTTGACATTTTTGTGTGTGGAATTCCTATTGCATTTTTAACTATGTTTAATTAAATTATCTGTCAGATTGTGATTATAGTTCAATTTACATCCTCCCATCGTGTCGTCCGGTCGGTGTTGGGGACCCTCAGGAATGGGGTGTCGTCCTTTTTTTAATTAAACTAGAACGATTAATGTCAAGCTTAGTAATAAATGTTGAGTTATAAATGTCTACGTCACATACATATGTTTATACGGAGTATGTGTCAAATACTTTTATGCAAATAACACAAATTAGAGCAAAGTGATATTTGTGTGTGCATAAATCAATGCCTATTCAGAGATACTAGTTATATAGACACGATTTGTCTTGACCAAATTTCATAGATAATAATGCTTTAATGTGACCCGACTCAACTCGGTGTTTCCGAATTATATATGTACAAAACCATTTTTCTAAAGATATTGGGGTTGGTCATGCTTAGGTTATAGGTAGTATATATATGTTCATGGTGTTCCACGCTTGAGGAGTGTATGTGATCACCTTGTCACTTATTCGAACTTTATTAGCATATGTGATGTCCTAGGTACAAGGTAACTTGATTGGGTGTCATCCATATCTTGAAAGTCCATCTTGCATTTTGGCATCTTCACATGCCTCCCCTACAAAAAGTTGTGTAATTAGGAAGTGTCACTATGGAAGTGGCCATATATAGTCTTTGTGTCTCACGCAATTTGTAATTCGTTTAGTCAATGAATGTTTGCAAGAGTGGAGTGTTCATGTTGGTTATGCGTGGATTTTCATGTCTGTAGTAGTTCTCTATGTAGTACGGAAACTCCGGGAAAAAGTACGTTTCCGTTTCGGAAACTCTTTGGAAACTCTCCCAACAAGTGTTTTTTGAGCAAAAAAGTTGACGTTTCACGTTTCATCATAATTTTCACGTTTCCGTGCAACATAGTTTGTTTTATACGATGACGTCACAAACTTCGTATATACATGTATTAAGTGCAACCTAATAACCTATAAGACAATATAGTATAACAAGTCATATGCGTGTCCCATGTTATGCTATATACTTCGTTTATATATCTAGAGAATGCATAACAAGTCAATACTAATTAACATCTAGTAATGATGCCATACTTTATTAATTGGCACTCTCTTTTGAATCTCTCAATATTAAGTTATAACTCAACATTTATTAAGTAATGTGTACACCCTTATTTAAGTAATGTGTACACCCTTATTTGAATCTTGGTAAATTGAGTTAATTAAGTATATCTTTTGCTCCGATCCCATGTCTAACTTATGGTAAATTATGCAAGTAGCTATCTATATTTGTCGGACATGCTTTTGAAATGTAATGTAATGGACTTGGTTTTACCATCTTGACTTGGACTTTGGTGTTAACACGTCAGCACTCTAATAAATACTTTACTCACACTTAAACTGGACATTTTTGTGGACATTGTTTGCATAATATCGATAGACAAGAAGGTAAGACATGACAAGTAGGGATGGCCTAAGTAGATCATAGTTCAAACTTAAGTTCTCCTAGCCCTTATCTCGAGTGTTAATTCCCGCTTCAGAATTTTCTTCTTGTGGAGAACTTGAAGGTGTTGACATATTAGTAAATAGTAATGGTTCTATCGAAAGCTACTTTGATACTCATGGTCACGCTTTATTAATTGCACGCGATTTGTTATACACGAAGGTGTACTAATCTATTGTGCGAGCGGCTCACAGTTTAATATCTCAAGTATCAAGGGTATGCTAAAGTTAATGATGATTTATACGGATCCGGAACCTCCGTCTTGCTTTAAAGTAATGCACAGTGCTCGGCTTTTGGAGACCGTCCGATCAAAGCATCAATTGTTTGAGATTTCAAGGTACACATCTCGAGACTTCTCCCATCCGACGACCCCCTGCCCACAAAGCACTCTGTCGTGCGGCAGAGAATCTCAATTGGACTTATACTTCAGGTAGTCTTTTATGGCTTTGGGCTAGTGAAATCAGAATTATTATTTTCAGTTATTCAATAAAGTTTGGACTTTATATCCCGTAACTCTTTCTTTATCTTGCCATAATTTTTGTTTGAAGTTATAATAATTGCCCAATGGAAAATTGATACAACTGCTGATAACATTTAAGTACTTAAATGAGTATATTGTAGTACAAAAATTCAATATTCTAAGGTGAAGAACGGCATGACTATTGATGATATGACTAGTATGGATTTAATTTGCCACTTAAAAGCCTTATGCGCCCACAAAATAAGGAAGAAGGCGTCCCAAATTAGTTTTGATCTAAAAATAATTCAAGTGAAAGTAGTTATTCCCTCCCGTCACGTTAACATCGTTCAATCTTTTCATTTTAATTTGTATCATTAAATGGTCTCATATCAAATTTGACAAAATTTATATATGATTTTAAATTATTTTTACATTATTTGTTGAATTCTTATACCGAAAACTTGTGAAAGGATCAAGTACTACGGAGTATATTAATATCTGGGTTACTGCTATTAGATTGACCTTTAAAGATGAACTTCTGAGTCTTAACATTATTCCTATTTTATCAATTTAATATCAATCATATTAAGTCGTTTTAATCCCGAAGACATGGCTATCCAAGTTGTAATGCCCACTCTTGTGATGTCACAAATGTCTTCATTCAGCGGGAGTCTTCATCCCAACAACTTATCAAAGCCAACAACCAATAATAACACCACCTTTATGACAGCAGAAGATAGCTCATTAACTGAATAAACTATCATACATCCATATCCGCTAGCCGCCATTTTAAACATGGATGTCGCTAAGTTTTTAAACATTTTGCTTATCCCCTGCTTGTCTTTGGGAGTATGTTCGCACTTGAAAAAAATAAGAACTTCTATTTCTTATCCCAAAGACCCAAACTATGAAGATGTTATGGCGATGAAAGGGTGAAGAATATGGATATAGAATCAGTGAAAAGAGGGCTGAGTTATTATACAAGAAAGAACAAGAAGTGGGTTTTTGCTCTGGGAATCTTAGGATTCACTAGTTACAGTGCATATAGATCTTACAATTCACCAGCTATGGTGAAAAGGAGGCAGAGATTTTTGGGATTATTTGGCTCCTTAGCTTCTTTAGCTGAAATGGCATCTAATTCAGCTAATACAATTTCCATTCTTTCAAAAGATCTGAATGAATTTATACAGTCAGATTCGGATCAAGTTCCTCCAAGTATAAGGCAGATTTCCAAGATCGTGAAATCAGAGGAGGTCTCAGAGTCTCTGGTTAGGATCACAGCGTCTGTAACCGCGGGTGTTCTTCAAGGCTGCCAAAACACGGCTGGTACTGGTTTTTTAACATCAGATTCTGGGTTCGGCGTTGATCGGGTTCTGGATAAGTTGTTCACCGATGCTGGCTCTGGTTTTGCGTCGGCGGTCGTGGGGAGCTTCGCCAATAACTTGGTCACGGCGGCGTTCTATTCAGACAGTCCGGCCGATGGAATGAGGTATGATCCCATCATATAGTTTATTGCATATCATCGTCTTTACACATGGTTTGAAGTAGAAAAAAGTAAATGTCCAAAATTACTCTTGTTGTAGTAAAGCAACGTAGTAATCCTAAACGAGGTAAATGAATACTCCGTAATAAAGTAGGGGTCAATTTTGCTTTCAATTTTCAAAGCAAAAGTTTACCAAAAGTACAAACAAAATAAGGTAGAAAGATAATTTTGGGATAAAGAGACTATATGTTATGTGCATGTTTGGTAGACATAAATTTCTACCTTTATACTCTGTATTATTTAAAAACTGTTTAAAGCTTTAAAGTTTCTAGTTGGATGTTTGCGTTGAAACCTTCTAACTTTTATACTATTTAATAAGTCTCTAAAGCTTGCAGTTTTATGTTTGTCGTGAAAAGTAAGTTACTTTTAGCATATGAGAAAAGTCAGTAACTTTTTGCATTATTTAGTCCAACAACTTGTATATCAAACAGAATTAAATCGAACAGTCAATTTTCTACCAAACTATCACATTTTCCATTTAAGATCTGTTCGGTCAGTAAAAGCTAACGGTTGCTATAAAACTAATACTCCCTCCGTCCATAATTGTTCTTCCATAGTACAAATGGCACGAGGATTAAAATAGTGACTATTGTGTGTTGGAGAATTGTGCGAAGGAAAGAGAAATGTGTAAGAATTGTTATGAACAAAAAATTCTTTACTACAAAAAGGAAAATGAAAGTTTGTTTTGGAATGCCAAAGAAGAAAGTTGGAAGATTTTTGAGGAATGAGGAAGCAAAAGTATTTTATGGAGTACTAATTATGCCAAACAAACCATACCCTATATGATCTCAATCACACCATCTGATTTTCATCGCCCTCTATCAATTTGTTAGAATTAAAATAGGTTAGTGATAGTCGTTAATGGATGAAGTGCGCCAAGTAATTATGAAATTATCTCTAAACCATTCTATTAACACAAGACTTTATTCTTTCACTAGGTGGGTAAACAATGTACTCTACGACGAAAAGTGCAGAGAGATAATTGAAAACTGCGTTCAACTCTCTGTAAGCACAGCCGTATCAGTATATCTGGAGAAGACGATGAACACCAACACCTTTGGTGACATCTTTTCTGCACTCACAAACCCCAAGCACGAAGCCGAAGTAAGAGACATTCTGGTTACCCTATGCCAACACACAGTGGAGACATTCATCAGAACATCTCATCAAGTCTTGAGCAATAACAATCAACATCTCCAAAGCAATGTTTTGGCTAGAAACACAAAGTTCATTCTTGACTTGACTAAGAGGCTTACCTTTGAGACCATGAAATCTTTTCAGGAGTTTGTGCAGGAACAGGTGTCAGAGAGTTTGAGAAGAAGGGCAAAGTTAATGCATGAAAAGGAAGAAGCATTGGAGGAGTATGTGAGGCAGAAGTCATCTACTGCAATTACTGCATTTCTTACTTTGTGCTTGCACATAGTGAACAGTCCTTGGCTTTTAGTACAATAAAAGAATGGTTGACATATATGATGAAATTTTCAATTTTAAAAAGGTACAACTCCTAAGAATTATATATTCACATAACACACCATATCTATGTTAAGCTTATGATTGTTCATAAATTCAAGTTGAGGGCAAATCAATTTTTATAATTTTGGAGGAAGTTTTTGTTTATTTTATTTATTATATTTATTCCACTACTCATCATCATTTAACCTAATTTAAATCAATCTTACGGATCTGCTCCGAATTGTGGTATCTTTAGTCATAGTTACTAGTTAGTATTGTACAAAAAGAAAAAAAGAAAGAAAGGTGTTAACCATTGGTCCATATAAAAATCATGTGTGTGAACAACTTTGTTATTAGTTTGGGTGATCTTGATGTCGCCGGATTAATCTTGAGTCCCTATATTATGAACCCACTCCAAGCTCTTGAGTGATGTGAATCTGAGCCGCTCAAACAATACATTAGGTTCCACCACTATCTACATAGAACCACGCACAAGACATCGCTCTTAACTGATTGATTATGTGTATCCTCCCTCATGTTCTTAGCATAGCTCCCAAGAGAACTGTCGTTGATTGGTCATACACTAGCAGGTTTCCCACAAGAAGTTAACTCTCACATTATCGCTTGAGGCGAGACTAATTTTTTTTATCATTTGAGTTAGCCCTGGGGGCTAACATATTATCATTTAATTTGCGAAAAAGACTCAAATTTATCTTTATTGACTTGAACTCAAAACCACTCACAATGGAAGGATTTTAACTGTGGGAATCGGTCCATTTAAACCTTTAAGAGACTATGTTATTGTGTCCAATTATATTTGTTATATTTGTATTTATGTATTAAATAGTTTAGTTATTAACTTTGGGCCAATTATATATTTTGCCCTATAAGTCCGGTTTAATACGGAAGCCGTTAATTCTGCTATTATATACTCCGTAACTAAAAGGTAAGCTTTCGTAAATGTAACCTGGGCCACAATTCATGCATGCAAATGTTCCAGAGAGAAGAGGAAGCTCTCATATCACTGTAGCTATTGAATACACCGTTCTTCATCATCTACTCTGCCTACTCTGTGCTTTGTGTTTTTATTACTTGATTGTTGGATAAACTAGAACAAACATAACCATACCCACATGTGTGTACATGTTGATTACAAAGTTTTCCCATTTTGATGAAAGAATTTCATTACAATTTTTGCTCAAATTATTGTTTTTAAGGAAACATTTTGTATTTAGCTTTTGATATCATAAAAATTAGTCATAACCCCACGTCACAACATTATCACCAACCCTATAAACCAGCAAAAGATGAGTGCCAACAACTTCCGAAGCAAGTTTTGACTACTAACAGACCCGACATTGACAAATCGCATGTTCAAAATTCAATTGGACGGACCAAATTATATAAAACATGTAATAATGAAATGCTAAATTGAAAAATAACGTTAAGTTCTTTTTTTTTTATATAAAAGATAAATGTTATGAATAGGGAACAAATTACAGAGTTCAAGGGGCATACCCCCAAAGTTACCAACAACAGATCATACAAAAACAACCACATTACAAAAACCAGCTATCAAGAAGCACAAAAACAGTCCTTTGTGAACACAAACCAGCCACACTACTCATAGGAACCAACAGGGTTCATATAAATGGATAGAAACTGTTCCGTAAACTAGTAACCCATCTATCGGGGCATCAGAAGTTTATCATGTTCGGCGGATAAAGTCTATATAAAATCTTGTAAGTAAGCACTTTGATTTGCAAAATCAGTTCATCACTCGTGGCTTTTACCCCTCCAAACAGTCCGGTATTTCGGGCTTTCTTGATTGAGTAAACCGTACAAGCTAGAGCAATTCTAGCAGCTTTGCTAGTTAGTCTTGCACCCCTCCACTCCTTTTTCATCCATTTTACTGAACTATGGAGGGTATGAAGAGGTCTTCTAATTCCCAGTCACTCGCAAATAACCTTCCAAATGGTACTAGTCACCGGGCACACGAAAAACAAATGCTCCACAGTTTCAAAATGGGTATGACAGAAACCACAATTCCTATGCACATCCATATACCAAAGATTTCCAGCTGTGGATAATCTATTTCGAAAGCAAAGCCATAGAATAAAAGAAAATCAGGGGGAATATAATTTTTCGAAATGAAACACATCCATGACTTTCTAACCGATTTTCTCCTTATGATATCATATAGGTTAGAGGAATCCAGCTCCCCATTTTTGCAGTTTGCCCCTATTTGAGCGATAATTCCATTCGTGTTGCCAAAGGACAGAAGGAGCATATCCTTGATTTTAGCTAACTGCTTCAACAAAGGGGAGTCTCTTTTGTTTGGACTCCACTCCCAAATGGAACACCTCTTTAAGTATACACCATGAAACCATTTTATCCACAAAGAGTCTTTTTTAGCATGAATATTCCATAGAGTTTTCCCAAGTAGGGCAAGGTTCCAGGTCTTTGGATCCCTAAGTCCAAGTCCTCCTTCTTCCTTTGGCTTACAGATATCACACCAAGCAACCTTTGCATGTTTCCCATCCCAAAGAAATTGTCGACAAGTTGTTATAATTCGATTATGGATAGCCATAGGAATAGGGAAAGCTTGTAACAAAAAAGATTGAACACCCTGGACTACTGCTTTAATCAATTCAATTCTCCCTACATAAGACATAGTTTTAACCTTCCATTTTGCCACATAACCCTCAATTTTTTCAATAAAAGGAGAGTACTGGGCTATGGAGACTTTTATGGGAGCCAGTGGGATACCCAAGTACCTAATAGGGAAACCTCCTTCCTGAAAACCCGAAAGAGCGAGTAGATCCTCCCTTTCCTATCCGTGTACCCCTGCCAAGAAGACATTGGATTTTTCGAGATTTACATTAAGTCCCGACACTTCTTTAAACGAGTCCAGGCATTTCATTAGGACCCTCACAGATGTGTAATCCCCTTTTGCGTATAGCATCAAGTCATCTGCAAAGATGAGATGAGACACCTTCATCTCATTACACCTGGGGTGAAAATGGAACCCTTGTTTACTAGTTTCATGGTTTAGTAATCGGGAGAGATATTCCATGCATAGTATGAACAGACCAGGTGACATGGGGTCACCTTGCCTCAGTCCTCTCTTTTCTTTGATAAAACCATGTAACATTCCATTAATAGACAGTGAGAAAGAAGTAGTAGTAACACATTCATTTTTTAACAAAGTGGAACATGTGCTTGTTAGAATCACACACCGGAAAAGTTTGAATCAACAAAGTGCTATATTAAGATGTGGGATACTCCTCCTATCAGGTTGACCTTTTAGGATGGAACCCCATGTCTTAATATGGTATCAAAGCCAAATCAATCCATGGTGTGGGCCCGTTTATGAAAAATGACGACACGATTATGAAAAAATGACAATGACGAACCGGCGGAAAAAATGAATGACGGCACGATCCAGACGAAGTGTTTGGTCGTGAGGAGGGGTGTTAGAATCCCACATCGGAAAAGTTTGAATCAACAAAGTGCTATATTAAGATGTAAATTGATGTAAATTACCGTCGGTGGTGAAATTACATGTAAATTGATTACATATACAACTACATCATTTTGATTTGGATGTATATACACAATGAAATTTTCAATTCAACTAGACAATTGAAATTGATCACACCGAAAACTAAAATTGAACACACATGCAACTATTGTCTGTGAGTCGCACAACTATTGTCTGTGTGGTAAATAATGTCTGTGCACACAGACAAATAATTGTCTGTGCAACATGAAAAAATTGTCTGTACACACAGGCACTCCACATATATTGATTGATTTACAAACTGATGTTAGTGTCAGACGGCTGTCAGTGTACTTTTTACAAAAAAAGTAAATGTGGACACAGACAAAATTTGTCTGTATGTACAGAAAATTCATGTCTTTGTTCACAGGCAACTTCATACCAATTGTCTGTAACCGACATTTTGTGTACCCTGTATACGGTAGCATTTCTCTAAAATTTAACTGACACAATCAATTTACTTCAGACGAAGCGGTCCTGACATATTTAGAAAAAAAATCATTAACTTAACACAACTCATTATCCTTCAAACAATCATACCGCAGGAATCTATCTGTTGTTTCTCAGAGCTGAGAGAGAGAGAGATAGCTCAATAATTCACCCACCATTCCTGCTTCTTCCTCCCATGGTTTCCCACCGAAGATGCCTTCTTATCCCAGCTTTCACTCCCCCTTCCTCAGGTCTCAATTCCTTCATTTTCTAATGCTTTAATTTGTTGTTGCTGTAATTATATAACTAATATATATTGATTTGCACATGTTTTATTTGTAGCTGGTTTTGCACGAGAGAAAAATCAGTTGAAAAAGGCGAAGACAAATATTATAATGACGACGAAAACCAGGCCGGATTCTTGTCAACGGCGGAGTGCTATGCCTGCACGCAAGTTGGGGTTCCGGTTTTCCACTCAACCAGTTGCGACAACGCGAACCAGCCGGAATGGGAGGCTTCTGCCGGTTCATCCCTAATTCCCATTAAAAACAAGCCCGGTTCGTCCCTCAATGTCCGGTCTTGGACCGGCCAGCGCCGGTCTGGACCCCGTACGTTCGCGCGTGTGATGGACCCTCGTAGCAAGCGCGTGCAGAGGTGGAACCGGGCGTTCCTGCTGGCGCGTGGCATGGCGTTGGCCATTGATCCTCTCTTCTTCTACGCTCTATCCATCGGCCGCGATGGCTCGCCTTCCATTTACATGGACGGCGGCCTGGCGGCGATTGTCACCGTCCTCCGCACGTGCGTCGACGCCGTCCATATCTGCCACCTGTGGCTGCAGTTCCGGCTTGCTTACGTGTCCAGAGAGTCGCTCGTGGTGGGCTGCGGGAAACTCGTTTGGGACGCGCGTGCGGTTGCCAAACACTACCTCCGCTCGCTCGACGGCTTCTGGTTCGACCTTTTTGTGATTCTCCCTATCCCCCAGGTGATGTCAGCTTAAATGATTTAATATATGAAAAAATAATTAAAATAGTTTTTCATAACACTTTCAGTCAATTTAATTGAAAAAGTAATTTACTTATTTTAATGATTACACTATTAATGTCTAGAAAGTAGAAGATTGTGTCTGTGGTAGAAGAGTTTGCTGTTGAGCCGAAATT